TTATCAAAATGTTGTTGAAATGCCATTAAAGTAAGTCCTTTTCAACAAGAAATGCTACTCAAATTAATTAGCACATATAGGAAAAATGAATAATTACTCGAGCGGCTGCAACTGTGATTTTTTACATAAAATGCCAAATATATCAAAAACGGTTAGATTTAGGTATCTGATGTTATACATGAAAAACATTAAGAATTTGGAGGAGAATGCAAAAATGCAATAATATATAGGGTGTTCCATTTGAAATAAGCAAGTTTGAACATTTTTTGTGAAGTAACCAAGAGCTCAAAGGGAACCAAATTCACGCTATAACTAAACTGATTGTATGCCTGTATGTATCCAATTGCAAAGTGCGGCGCTGTGCTACGCGTGGTGTTATAACTCATTAGCACACAGAGCGGCAACAACTCAACACAGTGTTACCCATGCCCAAAATCGCCTCTGTCTGGCAGTGAAAATCGTTGAAAAATTCAAACTGGAAAACGCTACTCGACGAGTTTTTATTGATGCCAAATCGTTTTACTCGTTGAATTGTTTCGGGTCTACTGCGTCGATTTTTCGACTGGCTGCCAGAAAATAATCGAGTTTTACATAAATAGGCCTGTACCTATCGAGCTTTTGTCACCTTCAATCTAATATTAACCCCGAGGTCGATTGATGTGTGACACAAGCCTGGACCGATAATGTAACTTTTTCGATTTGTAAAAGCCGCGAAATTTCACAAAACATCGCCCAAACATGTAATGATGGCCACTTTCACTTAAATAGGGCCCGAATCGATAAAGCACCATCAATCAATCACGAATTGAGTGAGACTCCCTCATCAAAAAATGATCAGTTGCGAAACATTCCTCATTTACGGACAGTTCCAGAATGCGATGAGGTCATTTTATTCACAAATAAGCTTGAATAAGGCACGTGACTTTGTACTGTTGTGAAGCCTTAGTTGCGGAAGAAACAACTTTAACTATGTCAGCCAATTTAGAAGCCTTTTTAGATAATTTATTTAATAATTAGCCATTGGAAAGGTCACTTTACCGTACGTAGCCATGCGGCGGAAGCGGACTGAAAACTTTTTATCCAAAAAAAGTGTTCACAGATTGATAGGGAAAATGAAAAACAATCTTGGCTGGACAAAGGAGGCAACAATAATTATTTGCGCAACTTTGCAGGACGCTTAGGGCTTGGAGAATTGTTGAAAGTTGCATATTTTTGCGTCGAATTCGATTGATCATTATTAGTGGAATCGACTACACATTTCAAGTGGCATTTTGCTACAGGCCTATATTTTTAGAGCAAGGTGGGCTGGACAGGGACAGGAGATGTTGAACACTACCGGGTATTTCGCGCCGCGTTAACTTCGTCTTTACGACAGTATCGCGGTTAGCTTCCAAACAACCACGAAATGAGTTTTTAATCGGAGTTTTGTTGAGTGGCTGCGCAAGTTTATTTATTTTTATCGCAAGTTCTTCGGGTGATTGTGCAGCATGCAAGGTGACCGACCGGTCAGCTGCCGAACCAGACATTTTGGCACTGGAGGATTTGGAAATTTCCGCTTAACACCGTGTAAAACTCGGAAAAATTCAGTTGCCCCGAGTGGTGCTAAGTTAAATTTACTGTTCAGAACAACACGCAAATAAACTAATCATTGAAGGTTTATTTTCCATCGGGTTATTATTAAACCGAGCGAAGTTTCGGTTGGATAATAATCGAATCGAGCCGTCCAGTGTAAATTAAGCGTCTTTTGTCTCAACACAAGCAAAAAATCACTTGATAAGTCGGTGAATGGGATCGAAATTTGAATGTATCACGGACTTTAACTTGTAACATTTCAAAGTTGGATCAGGCTTAAAACGAATCTCAACTGCGTAGCGAGCGGCCGGTCCATCATCCATTAGAATCGACCGCCCGAGTATGCAATTTCAATATTTGACCCCGCAAAAATAGCAACCTTCAATTCAAGAACACATACACAATGTGTCGTTGTAAAAGCAAATTGCGTCAAACAGAAGCACTTTTAAATAGGCAAATCATCACAGTGCCAAAATGCATTTATCCCGAAAGCAAACGCGCTTGAGGCCGCCGCGTTTGTTTGAACAGGCCTCAAACGTCCAGCTTTGTTCTAAGTTGATCGGGTTTTATTCAGTGGCTGTCAATCTTGTGGAAGTGAATTTTGCGGATCAACGTAAACTTTGAATAACTTTAATAAACATTTTAACCTGGAGTAAGGGATTTGACTGAAAGCCAACTATTTGACCGATTATTAGTGAGTCAGTCCCGCGCTATTCCTTGTGACTGAAAATGATCAAACCGAGTGGTTTTCCCGTACGATATTGGCGGTAAATTGCGAATAAACAGTGCGGACTCGATAGCGCAGAATGAGCTGCTGCAAGAGTGTTCCACCCATTATTACACCAATCAATTTAAACAATCAGTCGGATGTTTATAGCTGGCAAGTAAGTAACCAATCAAGCAAAAGTTAATTAAGCTTCCAGTCGCCACATGGTATATTGATTAATTTTATCCAACCATCGTTTGCAGAACGCTTCAATCGCCAATCACTCAAAATCCGGTGCAAATTCAAAGTTAATAAGATTACTTTTGCCTACAATCAATCACGCAATTCATGCACAGAGACCACCATTTACAGGTTCTCATTATTCTGATTTATTTTCCTTATATTCTTATCTTTCCTGGGTCTCAGCCAAAGTGCGAAAGTAAAAATTTTGAATATCGTTTATTTCATTACGTTTCGACGCGACAGCAGCGCCATCATCAAATTTAACATTTGCACAAACTCATGATTGTCTGTCGAGAGACAAATTTAAGGTTTCAAGAAGGCAAAGACCTAAAAGAACTTTGATTTTTACCAATCATGAGTTTGTGTAAATTTTAAATCTGATGATGGCGCTGTTGTCTCGGCGAAACGTAATGAAATGAACGATGTTCAAAATTTCAGATTTAAAATTTACACAAACTCATGATTGGTAAAAATCAACGTTCTTTTAGGTCTTTGCCTTCTTGAAACC